ATTCATTCAGTGGGATACTCTATATCAAAATATGTATTTAATCAGAGAAAAATGTAAAACATTTTAACCAATGGGCTTTAAAAAAAGAGAAATCACACTGACAATCGCCAGTTAAGTTGCAGCTTAAATGCCAACAGTCTACATCACTGATAATTGCTCTTTGGTTTATGCTAAAGTAAAATGATATTTTCAATAAAGTGTATTTATTGATTTTTTTTTGTCTGCCAAAGAAAAAAAAAAGTCTGCAACTCTGTGCAGACTTTGTGATGCATTCACTGATCTCACAGCAGCTCAGCTAATCTATTTTCAGCAAACAGCTTAGAACCGAGCAGAATAAACAAGCCACATAATCACACAGGATCATCCCTCTTTCACTGAGAATTCAGTGTTATAAAAGTCTCCTTCACGAGGCTGTGCATCTTTGATGATGTGTGAAAAATCAAATCCTGTGTTTCATTCACGGAGCCGCAGTGAAAAGGTGTCAGTGCTGTGAAAACCGGGCCCAAAGGAACAAGAGGTTCTGCTCAAAATGCTCCTTGATTATTTATCAGCTGGGTGTCTGGTATCTAATCCAGGCAATAAGTCTAAATATAAATGTCAATCAATAAAAACAACTTTTTATATTGCCGAAGTAGATCGTTTTTTGGAAATTTAGACTTCACATAATATGCATCAGACCGCAATAATCCCACATCAATGAATCCTTTGGTCTCACAACAAAGAATAATTGATTTCTTCCTCTATGTGGGATAAAATATGGTGCTCTTTTCTGTGGGAAAGGCAGTTTTAATTGCTCACCACTGATAACAAGTTGCAGCCCATTACCACAGCAGTGATTAATTGCAGGCAGCAGGGCTGTGGAATTCATGAAATATTGCATTAGGGGAGATTGAACAACGTTATCACGTCTGGGCTTTAATGTCAAGTCTAATTGTCACATACAACAAAACTGAGATTACAAAGCCTGGTACACCATCAGTATCACAAAGCTCTGAGGTGTTTACACTGAAATAATGTATTGTCAGGCACTATTTAAATTAACCGCATTTATTTCTAATTACGATTAGAAAAATGATATGTATTTATGGTTTAGTCTCTGTGCTCCTTTCCTCGGAACCAAACCGCCCGTTGGAAATCAAAAATCAACTGAGAGGTTCCAGACTGATTCGCATTTGCAAATTGGTCTGGCAATGTCAGGTGCTCCAGTAATTTGGTTTAAAAGTGAAACAATCACTCTGAGGTTAATGTTCTGGCTTTCAGCTTTAAAGGTATTTGAGAGTGTTCATGTCCATATCTGGTGAACATGAAATTAGGTTAGAACATGCGGTACATACCTGGCGAAGCGTTACCAGCATATCTGCTGATGTGTTTGAGCCATTTATTTACTTGTCCAATTACTTTCTGTGCCCTAAAATAAAAGGACTATGTAGAGTCTACGTTCTTGCTGTTACTTTGTCACAAAATTAGGGTGACCATATTTTCAAAACCCCAAACCCTTAAGGACCCTTAAGTGTACCACACATTCATGCACATGTATGCGCTTATGCAGCATAGGAATTTTCATTAGCATGAGACACAATTATTTGACACCATTTTTGATTACAGGTACTTAAAGAAGGAATAAGGACTGACTTTCTCTATGGTACAACAGATAACTCAGCATACTAATAGGTTCTGTCACAAAGAGCTGCAAGTGTGACCAGATATTTGTTCATTAAAAAAAGGTATTGGAAAAGTCAGGGAATCACCAAAGTCAGTAGCATACGTTGTCTGGGAACCACAAAGGTCTGTACATAATGTCACAGCAAACCATCTCATCGTCGTTGAGATGTTCAGTCAAGCTGAAGTTGCTTTACATGGTGGACAACTGACTGATCGACATTACCATACCACCTATCGGGGCCAACAAGGACAACAAATTGAAGCAGTCCACACTTTAATCTCACAGTCATTGTTTCACTTTAGCTCTAATGTGCTGGAGTAAGGAGCCAATAATGTTCCAATACAATCTGACCACACTGTATGCTACAGACGTTTATGATCCTCTCATGTCTTTGATTTGTGAGTGGTGCCATCATCAGTATGGAGGCTTCATGCTTTCACAGAACTGCTCCTCCAGTCTTGCAGTTCTGTGGATGTGGCTAGAATGATGGACAGATTAACTTCCCTCCGGCTTTCAAGAATCACATTACCTGAGATGAGCTCGGAGGCGCTTTGAAATAAACAGCCATAAAGGTAACGTGAGTCCCTCGAAATGCACTCTGCATCCTTTCAGAACGCACACAGAGCAAACATATGTACATGAATCAGCTGGAGAGGAAATGGACAAAGAACATTATGACCGGGGTCAATATGTATCAGCCCTCACTCGTTCTTATTACATACTTCCAGAAAGATTCACATTTGACTCATTTACAAATATTCAGCAGTGAGAGACAAGATAAGCTGGCAGGCACGGCGCGGTCATCTTCAGATGGCAGCAGCGCGACGGCAGCTGTGACTCAGAGATGTCGGTTGTTCTACAGTGACAGCCTGCAAATGCCACCTGGACAAGAAGCCAAAATAAACACTATTTGTAGTGTGACTGGCATGCAATAAGAACACTATACTTCTGCAACACTTGGAGAGTCTCTGAATAGACCATTCAACTCCACAAACAAAGCAGACACAAATTAGAGTGAGCATCAGCCTCTCTTCTCTGGAGTAAATGTATTTTTCTTTTTGATGAAAGTTCCTGGCCCTTTGCCTGACGACTCTGGCTATAGTGACACTCGATACTTGCTTTCACGTTTACTTCACTAAGCACTCTGCTGCCTTTGTTGCTAAGCCATTAGGCATAGCATACTTTCAAATGCTTACAGCTGCCTCATATCCCCCGTGGAAGAAAGGAGAGCAAATTGATTTTAATTTACAACACAGCACACAACACATTTATTTTATCGATGAACCAAACAGAAGTGTATCTTGTTCATCAGGATAAAATGAGAAACTGAGATCTTTTTTTTTGCAGGAGGTCTTGTGTATGTTAAAATCGTACTGAACAGAATCAACACTTTGTGCCGTGACATGATAACGATCTTTGAGTAAAATATTCACAAATGAGCAGAAATCCACCTGAAATAGCGCAGAGGCGTTTCAATCAACATTGAAGATGAAGATTCTTAATTTTGAGTTAAATGGATGATTATTTTTCCCTTACACATGTATTTAGACCTCGTTCTTCCGTTTAATATACGGAGATTTACTGTACGTGGATGTACACTCTTGAAGCCTTTCAAACACTCGTGTTTTGAGGACCTTTGAGTGCAAACCTTGTACAGGATGTGTGGGAACACTTCAGCGGCGCTGTATTTTTGCCATGAAACAGCATTTTCTCTATTTCCAGCATTTTGGTACGATTTCATAACAAATATTTAAGTGAGATGCTTATTCACTGGAAGACTGGAAGAAACACTGAGTAGTCTGGAGAGAGAGCAGGCCTTGAAATGCATTATAAGAATGAGAGAATTCAAATAAATAAATACATTTGTTATGATTTATAACTATTTTCAACGACTTTAGCTCAAAGACACACTACCCTAATGTTAACAGCTCAAAATACATACTTGACATTGTTATATCAGCTTGATGTTTCCTAATTTTATGAGTTTCTCATAGACATATTGTTGAGCTGATACGTGTTTCAGTAGTCTTCTATGGTTAAATATGTCCCATTTTACATCCTGTTAACATCCATCTGTGACTGATGTCGACGGCACTTTTTAAAGTAGCACAAACCCTCTCATACCCCAAATACTGTACATTGTGTTTGTGTTTCTGTTTCTATTTGGGTGCCATGGGTGTTAAAATGCTGCTATAACATCCTCCACTATTCTGGGAAGGGTTTCTACAAGATTTTGAAACCTGTCTTCAGGGATTTGCTCCTTTTCAGCCACAAGAGCAACAGTGAGGCCGAGGCCTGGCTCACAGTCCGCATTCTAGGTTATCCCAAAGGTGTTGGATGGGGTTGAGGTCGAGGATCTGTGCAGGCCAGTCAAATTCTTCCACACTAAACTTGGAAAACATTTTCTTTATAGACCTGACTTTGTGCACAAGGACACTTGAAACAGGTGAGGGTTTTCCCCCAAGCTGTTGCCACAAAGTTCTATGTGCCTGAAGTACCACTGATTGCTGCAGCATAAAGACTTCTTTATATCTAAATAAGCAAATGTTTGTAAGATGTTCCTCTAAACTGTTTAAAACATGATCAAAGTTATATAGAGGAGGCTCACTGTGCTTCACTTTTGAGGATGTTCAATCCCTGTGTGGGCGTGTCTATGTCTGTTACTGGAAACACAGTCAACAAAAAAATGTGAAAGTGTGTACTCTGGCCAGACAGCAGAAATGTCATAAAAAACACTCAAGAACCTCATCCAGGCTCAACTTGAAACTGATAGTCAGTCACATGGGTGGTGGTGTTGCCAGGATGAAAAACTGCAGATGAGATGCATGAAAAGTGTCATTACTTACACACTCACATCATCATAACGTGTTATTGTGGATTTTACTACAAAGCAATAAAACTCAAATCTCAGGCCACTGAGGAGTAAACTGAAATCATCTTATAGCTAATAATGTTTATTGGTTTTATTGTGTCATGTGTTTATTTTATGAATCCAGGAGGACTCAGTGAGCAGTATTGATATTGATTGATTGATTGTCCTGGTGAAATTAAGTAAACTGAAATTGAATTGTGCTCCCGACCCCTCAGACAGCAGGGAGACAGCAGGTTAAAAGTGAGACTGAAACATCTGGTACATGGGAATTCTCTTTGTGAGGGGTGATCAATAAAAATATATAATCTATAAGATATAAGTAGATGTAACTGTTGCAGTCTGATTGTCTGAACCTCGTAGAGGACACCTGTTGATTTGGACAACATGTGCCCCCCCAAATGGAAGATCACCTGCAGGCTTTAAGGTCTCACTGAGATATCACTGCCCAACACCTGGTGAACTCACCCTGGCGGCTCTGGACGAGTAGGGGTCGTCAAACAAGGCCCAGACCTTCGGCTGCCAAACCTCGCAGCATCCCCTCGACCTGTCCGGGCAGTCCTCGATGCCGAACCGCCTCGGTATCTCTCTGTCATCATCGGTGTCGTCCGGGTCCGGCGGTTCAAATATATCCAGGGCTTCCTCCGCGTCCCGGTGCTGCCGGTAGGTCATCCAGCAGCATGGCTCCACGTCGGTCTCGTCAATCCCCCAAAACGCCAGCTCCTCCTCGAAGAGCGGCCCGCAGACGTCGGCCGGGCAGTGCAGCTTGCCGGTTCGGTAATAGTTCAGCACGTAGGCGAAGATGCCCGGGTGTCTGTCGAAGAAGAACTCGGTGGCACTCGGGGGCGCAGCGTCAGAGCTGACCTGCGTGTCCGGGTCTGCCAGCCATGCCAGGCGGGTCCCCGGCAGGGTCCTCAGGGTGCTCTTGTAGGTTTCATGTCGAGTGCCGCCCACGTTGATGATAATTTTGTCCGAGTCTTCCCCTCTGGACATCTCCTCCTTCAGACATGATTTAGACGGAGGTTTGTTGCCCGACTTCCGCCCTCGGTACGACGAAACACACACCGAGCTTATCATTGAGAAGCAGGGACCTTCTGGCTGCTCGAAACTGGTGTCCAAAAAAAAAAAACAATCAGAAAATTAACGCAAAGTGCGCCCTCATTTCAGACCCCAGTCCTTATAATTATCTGTGGGTCTCATCTATCCCCCCCACCCCCAAAAATAAATAAATAGACAAATGAGAGCCTGATGGTCCAGACAGCGCCAAAGTGGGACGCTCAATAAAAACCACCTGTTAGAAAACTCAGTCTGCTTCCGTCGGTCAGGCTCACCGTGAGTGTTGTTTGAATGTTTTCGTCGAATAGGTTGCACAAACTGACACACACTGATGCTTACAGATGTTGCACTCACTTCCCGCTCATTAAACCAAGGCTGTTGCCAATAAAAGATTAATTACGCAGTAGTAGTACGGACCTATAGGATGAACCACTTCGCCTGAAGTAATGTGTCACTCCTCACCACCTTTTCCCACAGATCTTATCTAAATTCTGCAACGCAAAAAAACCCCCCCAAAACTGTTCCCGACAACTTTTCTCTTCTCTCCACACCAGACGAGGAAGCCTGAGAAGGATCCAGATGCGCATTTAATGACGCGCGGAGATATTCCTCCGGTTGAAAAACGCTCAGCTCGCGTGCCAGATGTGGGGTTGTTTTCCAGCTGGGGATCTGTTGCTTCTCCACAAGTAGCCTATCTTCCCTTAGCGACACAGCCCGGTTGGATGGTGCGCTCAACAACAGGCTCGACAGTTTAACTCTTTGGCTGCTGGCGGAGGTTGGCGCATTATTGAACCACTCCCTCTAATCAGACTGAGAGGATGGGCTGACGAAGTGTGTGCGTTTGTCTGCGTGTGTGTGTGTGTGTGTGTGTGTGTGTGTATCATCGTGGATACATGCTGACCTGCGCAACATTTGCACAAAAAAAGCTTAAAATTATGAGTCATGCAGAGGGCCGATAGCAGAAAGTGCAAACAGCACAGAGCACAATGTATTGCAGTGTCTACCTCTTGCTATTCCCGTGCTTATTGCATGGGGTTACTTGCACACACTGATTGATGGAGTAATATTAATACTGTGTGCAGTATTAGTATTAGTGAACAGAAACAACGACATGGCAATGGAAGACTAACCTCTTAAATGAGGTAATTCCATCACTCTTTATGTTACAGGGATTAGGCTATTTCTGCTACTGCTATGGGATCCAACCATAGGATCCAACAGGTAGCTCTGAGTCCTCCAGTGCGTTTACCAAACTCATGTGTTGCTGACACAAACTAAGATTGCCCTCTAGTGGATCCTTCAGTGAATAACATGTTCAACAAGCAGGGGTCTCAGACTCTGGCTCGGGGTCACTGCTGGTATTGTCATCTTACAGGAGGGGCCACTTCAGTGTTCAAGTACTAAAAGAAAGTGCAATGGTCTGAAAAATAGCGTGTGGAAGAAGTGTGTTGCTCGCAGCCAAAGAACAAGTGAAGGCCCAAAACCTGCTCTCATTTGCATTTGGAAAGAATATGTAAAATACTGTATATCTAGTACATTTAACTGATTTAACAGTTAATGGTTAAGTACACACATTTTAAATAAACTACTTTAACTGCATAAGGTTTGTCATCTATGTTGTATAATGCGTATACAGTAATTCAATTCAGCTGTTATTTCACTTAGCGTACTTTAGCAAATCCATTTCAGATCCTTTTTCAATTTCAACATCATTTATTCTTATATTATTCTTATTTTAGAGTTTGTCATTTCCAGGAAAATGATTAAAAAATTAATTCATTGTACATAAATGGTTCCTGTGATTTTCTGCAGTACAAAATGTTTGACTGATACTATGATCAGCTACTGTGATTCTTTACAGTAGCAACTTCATAACTGTGACAGTAACTTTTTGACTACTGTAATTTTTGATGAATATATAGTACACTACAATGAAATAGTTTACAGTATCTCGCTGTGCACAAACACAGTGAGTTAGGACTATGTAGGTCGTACGAGCTGCTAAAACCAAACTCTAACCCCTGGCTGTTGTGAAAGATGTCATTAATCTAGGTTTTGTTGAAAAGTGATGATGCATCAATTCAAAAACTTTTTGATAACATTTATCAGTTATCAAACATCATCTCTAAATTGTGCTTTACAAGAACAAATTAAAGAGAGTTTTGTTCTTTAAAGTATTTTTATTGACATGTCAAGAAACTAGAATGTGAATTTACATAATTTTTAGTACGAAACAATAGGGATAAGACCAAAGTGTTTGTGTAAACAAAACAAGACGCCCATAGTTTTAGTCCACTTCCTCAATAGTGGGGCCCTTGGAGCTGCCATCTGCCTGGCTCCCACAGCTTCCTGGTGGTGCTGCTCCCTGGTACAACTTGGTCACAATCGGCTTGCACACCTTCTCTAGTTCCTTCTGCTGATGCTCATACTCATCTTTCTCTGCCAGCTGGTTGTTCTCCAGCCAAGAGATTGTCTCCTTGCACTTGTCAATGACCATCTTTTTATCCTCCTCGCTAATCTTTCCTTTCATATTCTCATCCTCAACACTGCCCTTCATGTGGTAGGCATATGACTCCAGTGAGTTCTTTGCTGCAATCTTCTCCCTCTGCATGTCATCTTCAGCCTTGTACTTTTCAGAGTCCTGTACCATCCGCTCTATTTCCTCTTTGCTAAGGCGGCCCTTGTCATTGGTGATGGTGATTTTGTTTTCTTTGCCAGTGCTTTTGTCGACGGCTGACACATTCAGAATGCCGTTGGCATCGATGTCGAAAGTTACCTCCACCTGTGGTACACCTCGGGGAGCGGGAGGGATACCTGTGAGCTCAAACTTGCCCAGGAGGTTGTTGTCCTTGGTCATGGCTCTCTCACCCTCGTACACCTGAATCAGCACACCTGGCTGGTTATCCGAGTATGTGGAGAAGATCTGGGTCTGCTTGGTGGGGATGGTGGTGTTGCGTTTGATTAGGGGCGTCATAACTCCACCTGCAGTCTCAATGCCCAGAGACAGGGGAGCCACGTCAAGCAGCAGCAGATCTTGGACGTTCTCTGAAGTGTCACCCATGAGGATAGCAGCCTGGACAGCAGCACCGTAGGCCACGGCTTCATCTGGGTTGATGCTCTTGTTCAGGTCCCTGCCATTAAAAAAGTCCTGCAAGAGCTTCTGGATTTTGGGAATTCTTGTGGAACCACCAACCAGGACTATTTCATGGACTCTTGACTTATCCAGCTTGGCATCTTGCAGGGCCTTCTCTACTGGTTCCAGTGTTCCCCTGAAAAGCTCAGAGTTGAGCTCCTCAAAGCGTGCCCTTGTGATGGAGGTGTAGAAGTCGATGCCCTCAAACAGAGAGTCAATCTCAATGCTAGCCTGGGTGCTGGAGGACAGGGTCCTCTTCGCTCTCTCACAAGCTGTGCGCAGCCTCCTCACTGCTCTCTTATTTTGGCTGATGTCCTTCTTGTGTTTTCTTTTGAATTCCTCAACAAAGTGGTTGACCATCCGGTTGTCAAAATCCTCCCCGCCAAGGTGTGTGTCTCCCGCGGTGGCTTTCACCTCAAAGATGCCATCCTCAATGGTCAGGATGGACACGTCAAAGGTGCCTCCACCGAGATCAAAGATGAGCACGTTGCGCTCCCCTCTTTTACCTTTGTCCAGGCCGTAAGCAATGGCTGCTGCTGTGGGCTCATTGATGATCCTTAGAACATTCAGTCCAGAGATCACCCCGGCATCCTTGGTGGCTTGCCTCTGGGAGTCGTTGAAATAAGCTGGAACTGTGATGACCGCATTTGACACTTTTTGTCCCAGGTAGGCCTCAGCGATCTCCTTCATTTTAACCAGGACCATGGAGGAGATTTCCTCTGGGTAGAAGGCCTTAGTCTCTCCTTTATACTCAACCTGGACTTTGGGCTTTCCATTATCACTGATCACCTTGAATGGCCAGAGTTTCATGTCAGACTGGACGATGGAGTCGTTAAACTTTCTCCCGATGAGACGTTTAGCGTCAAAGACTGTGTTGGTCGGGTTCATGGCAACCTGGTTCTTTGCAGCATCTCCAATGAGCCTCTCTGTGTCAGTGAAGGCCACATAGCTGGGAGTGGTTCTGTTGCCCTGGTCGTTGGCGATGATCTCCACTTTGCCATGCTGGAAAACACCGACACAAGAATAGGTGGTGCCCAGATCAATGCCAATAGATACTCCCTTTGCTGATGACATCTTGCTTTAGAGTCTCTAGAAGAAATAGGAGAACAAAAAGGAGTTTTAATTTTCTAATGCCACACATGAAACTGCACTGATAACTGAAGCTGAACTCATTCAAAATGACTACATTATGGATGTCAATGATGATGTTATCCATCTATTTGTATATGTTAGAGGTTCAGTTCAGAATTAAGTAAACCTGACAGTAAAACATTATTATAATTATTAGTTATGCACTGCTGAGCATATTATTCCATGGCACAAGTTTAATCTAATGTAATTGCTCCACAGTGAAAATATAAATAAATAATAATGGTAATAAATGATTACACTTATCTCTTTGATTTATGTAGTCCCTAAATTAGAAACTTTTCAATTTTGAAAATGTCCCAAACTGCAAGTCTTAAGTAATTTTAACACCTGTCTTATAATTAGATATGACACTGTTACTCTAATGAACTGTGAAATTAACTTCATACCAACATTAATAAAGACAAAATATAAAGCAGAATGGATGCATTATTAATGGCAAGTTTTTATGTTATCTTTTAGTGGATTTAAATAATGCCTGAGGATGCACCCTAAACCACCACAGATATATCATATGTAGAGGAGTCTGCACTGATGTTTCCATTCAAATTAAGTTAATTACAATCTGATAATGAGTTGTTACTTACTTTCAGTGATAATCTCTCTGTAGAGCTAAGATGTTGAAGGATCTCAGCAGTCTTCTTGCGCAGTTTCCTTTGTGTCTTGAGCTTTTGCCTCTGTGTGGTTCTTCTTATGCCTGGACTGACTCAGGCCCTTTGCTTATATAGTTACAACCAGGTTTCCAGAAGACTCTCAGCCCCCCCTACCCGTCCTCCTCGGTCAGTGACGCAGCTGTTAATATTAGCAACTAATGCAGCTGGCCTGGTGCGCGAGAGCCGGTGAATATTCCAGAGTGGGACAGTAGTCTGACGCTTGGCCAGCAGGGCAGACTACGAGGGAATACAATGTAGTGAATGCAGTAGTAAGGCACGGCTAGCAGCCCTGAAAGCAAGCTTTATCCCCAACAACAACTGACCTGAAGAGGCCTCTCTCTTTCATTCTCTGGTTTCTTTTTTCTTGACATAAATGAATCATGTTGAAGTTAATTTCCTCTGGTAAAAGAACTTGCTTTATTGCTATATTGATGCATTCTTTTACATACATAGTATACACATTTTGATCACATGAAATATTAATTTAGGTGACCCTGTGGGATCAAATTAAGACAGCGACAATCATATGGCAAACATAAAGTCTAATATTTTTTTCTCAACATATAGAGAAGATATAGAGTTACAATTATTACCAGAAGCAGGAGAAGGAAGACATTAAATGTACCACTAATAGATGTGGTTTTACAAAAGAGGAATGGTCTTTTAATTAAGGTCAGTGCTGATATTTACTTGTTGTAAATGATTTAAAAGGCACATTCATACCATGGCCTTGAAGGTATTATCCAGTCAAAACACTTTATAGTGGACCACGTTGCTCTTCAGTCAGACAGATCTCAGCTGGAATCTGAGCAAATGGAAACTTGGTATTAAATGAGGGTAGTTATGATAGTTGAAAATGTTTTGCTGGCTCCTTCTCCTCAACCTTTTCAGTACTTCCTTTTTAGGAATGAATACAGCTTATTATCTTCAACATAACCTAACATCTTAGCACATTAGACATCCTGTTGGTTCGCATTTGTTCAGGAGAAGCCCTGTGTGTTTTGAAATAATTTTATTTATTTAGGGAGAGTGTTGAATGCCAACACCAAGAGTCAGGAATTTAAAATGCACTGAGCCTTTCACAGGCTAGTATAAACTCTTAAAATAAACAACATTGGGTCATACTGTTTATATAAGTGCTATATTTTATCACTGTACTTGTAATGATGACTGGATGTTACCTTTTAGGGCATGTATGCAGATACCATTCAATGAGATTATTTAACACATGTACAGCAAACATTTCTAAAATAATGTACATTGTAATACAGAGTTTATTTTGGCTCAGCCCGAACCCCGGCTCATGGAATGTTCTAATAAAATCTTAATGTCATTGACAAACAAAACATAAATCCGTTCCATTCTTATGGCCATCATTTGGCACTGTGCGTAGGGTAAACAAACAAATCAAACAACTTTGTGATCTAGTAACAGAAGCATTAGCAACTAAATAAGTACATACACATGAAAGCATGCAGGCAGGCTTTTCTTTTAAACACGTGACGGGACATGTAAAATGTTAGTTGTATGTTTCCTACAAGTCTTACTCTTATTTTTCATATGTAACACCATGTCTGAAGTGCTATCAATAAGTTACATTCAGCATAAGTAAAATAATTCCTCCGTTTTGTAGCAATTTAGAAAATAAAATAGATCTCTGTTTATCCCAGGGCAACTCTGTGTTGAGGATCACGCCATCAGTCAGACAGTCTCATTAATACCTGCAAACAAAATACAGTGTTATTGTACACATGTGTATTCAACCTCTAACACATCATGGTAAAAATACAGGAAAAGGATCATGATAGGTAAAAACCTACCTGTAATAATTAGGTTTGAAAGGGCCATTCTTGTTGAGGCCCATGTATTTGGCCTGCTCGTCAGAGAGCTCTGTCAGGTGGGCATCAAAGTTTGGTAGGTGCAAACTGGCCACATACTCATCTGGAGGAAAGACACAGATTGGAATTTACACTGTCTGGAGAGATCTTCCCTTCATGATGTAATTTTTAGATCAAATCACAAGGTGGCAATACTGAGCAATACAAAAAGTAAGCCATAGAAACTGCTTTTTAAACTAATGTATATAATTGATCAAAGCACAGAACAATTGTAAACTGTCTGCTTTTTCTTACCCATCTTCTTAGGCAGGAGATACACATCCTGTTTGTAACGCCCCTCTGGAGCATTGAACAACTCAATCAGGGCCAGGGCCTACAGACAACACAGACCACACAATTGTTGTAAGGAAACTACATGTTACCACAGAACAGCAGGTTAGAATAATGAGGAGTAAAAAAGTGTGTCCTCAGAAAGGACCAAACTACTCACCTGAGTTGTAGCAGTGATGGACAACACAAACGTAGGCACGGTGGAGCAGCTAAGATTTAAGAGACGACCCTGAGAAATGACAGAGCACAGGTATGAACTGTGCTGTAGAAACTGACTCTGAACAGACACTAAGGCAAACTAAAGCGACATCAATTAGAAGTTACAGTGTGACACAAATAGAGATAACACTGAAGTATGCAGCTGCTGTGTGAACCACAGAGCACACAGTAACTGTTACAGTGAGACACCTGCAGGCCTTTTTATATTTTAATGTAACCCAAGGTTAAACCCTGCATGCTACATATCCCACAGTTACCATGATCATTTGCATATTAATATAATAATAACAGAACCAAAATATTTCACAATAGAAACTCTTCTTAGCCGGGACTAAATGCAGGATGCACTCTAGGTTTTGTGCAGGTTTCAATGTGGTGTTAAAATGCAAAAAAACAACAAATTTTAGAGTGTAAAGGCACATTACCTCTGCAAGCAGAACAACCCTCTTTCCATCGGGCCAGATGATGTGGTCAACCTGAGAGCGCACCCTCTCCCAGGTCAGCTCAGGGCTGCGCAGACTCGCCTGAGGACATAAAAAGCAGGTCAGTCCTACAACTGCATGACAAATTGAAACAGAATACAGATAGAAGAATAGAAGTGAGAGGATTTGTGCAAAATTTATTTTTTAACATGTCCATCTAGGAATCCTGTCTCAAAGAACAGGATTTTCTTTTGTAGAACAATTGGAAATATACATAAGGCTTGAATATATCAATCATAGAGATGGAAGAAATTTTAAGATGTTTAGAAAAATGTATTTGAGAAATGAGGTTGAAAGAAAGCATAAATACAGTTTCTTCTGCACTTAGTGTGAATATATAGCATTTTGTAAATGATTTTCTTTTAAAGATGATGATAATGTTGCTTTGTATACTTTAGTACTGATGGGTACCAGGATCTATAAATCACATAACTGATAAGGAAAATGAAAACAGCCTCAGACCCTAATGAAGGCAAGAAAGCCAAAAATGTTTCTTGTATAAAACTTATTGTAGTTGAGACATGTTTTAATTTTGTTAGACTTTCACTGAAGGTCGGCCTGTCACTGTGTCTGTTCAGCACATTTAAATAGAAATTCCCAGACACATATTTACAGAACACTTGTGCAAATACAAAAGCACACATTACCACATCAATCTCAGTATTGGAGTGTCCCATATTGCAGACGATGCAGCCATTCTTCATTCGGTCCAGCTGTTCTCTGGTAACAACGTTCTTGTTGCCTAAAAAAAAAAAAGAAAAAAGGAATTTGATGTGTGAACTGGCTGACAGTCAAATAGAAACTTCAGTTTCTGTTATAAGACTGGATTTACAATTACATGTAAATAATGATTATGAATACTGCCATCTGACTAGTTCACGGACCCAGAAAGCATTTTAGCATTTAGATGAGAAGTCGGACTCAGTTTGACACAGAGATATAAAGTGGCATATTTAATTGAGGTGCGAATGTGTTTGCTGGAAACAGTGATTATCAAAGCAGAAGTAATGAAAGTCACTGCATGGGGCACAGTACCAGTGCAAGTTATCACCACGTCCATCTGGCGGATGACCTCGCTCAGCTTGACCACTCGGAAGCCGTCCATGCTGTGTGGACAGAGAAATTTCCATTAGTTAAGGCATCACAAACACACTAAAAACAACATAAAATTGTCTTTGTGGAATCACTGCTAATCTGATGCACAGTGTAGAGACAAAAGCACAACTATGGGAGCACATTTACTGGTGGAGCAGTGCTGAGTGGTAATGGTTAGTGACTCACCATGCCTGCAGAGCACAGATGGGGTCAATTTCTGTGATGCACACAATGGCTCCGAGGGCCTTCAGAGCAGTGCAGCAGCCTTTCCCCACCTACACACCACAGGACAGTGCGATAGTTATAAAGAAAAAATACAATACATGTAAACAGATCTGCTGCACCTGTGAAAATTCACTCCTCCCATCAAAAGGAAGATTTTTTTTTAAAAAATCAAAGAATGATTCACCTCTCCATAACCACACACGACAACTTGTTTGCCTCCAAACATTATATCTGTGGTCCTCTTCAAGCTGCCAGAGACAAGCACAATGACACACACTTTTATCCATCTGCACGACCTGAATACAGAAACTCTTATTCTAAAACTAAGCTGTGGGAGTATGTTTGCAAACAATGGCAAGCTTTCTGGATGATTGATTCTCCTCACCCATCCAGGATAGATTCACGGCAGCAGTAAAGGTTGTCAAATTTCTGCTTGGTGACTGAGTCGTTCACATTCATGGCAGGAACGCACAGCTTGCCAGCCTTGGACAACTGGTACAATCTGATAGGACACATGGGGGAAACATGTTCAGGCAGACACGCATGTACAACACACATGCGCGTATCCCGCACACAAACTGAGCTGTGATCCTGTGTGACCTTATACTTTCCGGAGCATCTGGATAATTGATTCCATTGAGAGTTGTACATGCACAGCTGCTGTGACCTGCGCTCGAGTCATGTTTCTCTAACAGGCTCCAGTCAAATCAGGCCAGTGACCTTTTCAATCTACAGAGTCAGTGTGTATTGATACTACTACGACTTATATAACTGCTTTTGATACTGCGTGTGCTGCCTGATATAGTACATATCTTTCATCAGGAAGCTTGGTTTGCTTTCAGCTCAGCTCCTCCTACAGGACAAAATAAATGGATTTTAGAAGTAGATTAATCTAAGCTACAACA